TGTGGTTTTGTAGCTGAGGTCCATCCAGGCAGCACCTTAGCCCCATTCTTAGCACAGCCACTGCCTCAGCTGGAGCTGTGACCGCTTCCCAGTGGTGGCTGCTGATGGCCCTGGCACGGGTGGGCTGCATGGCTCCAGTGGCAGCTGCTGGGCTTTGGTTCCTGTTGGAGCTGGATCTGGCTCACTCCTCTGTAGCCAGTGGCAGTGCTGGGTTGGAGGTTTGGGGATGTGCTGTGTGTCCCCCAGCACATCCTGTGACCTGTCCCACCTCTGTGCCTGGTGTGGTTGGGGAGTGCTGGTGTGTGCACAAGCCCTGGGGGGCTCTCCCCATCCCACTGCTGTCCTCAGAGGTGAGGCTGTGGCTTCCAGGGCCAGATCTCTGCCAGGCTCTCCTGAAGCCGCCAGCAGCAGTGGGGACTGTACAGGCTCCTGTTACTGCTGAGCCCTCCTGTGTTGCTTCTGGCAGGCAGTGGCACAGCCTGTTTGTTATCCCAGCTTTCAGGCTGTGCAGCTCCCTGCCACTGCCCCAGTGCTCCGTAGGGCACATCACATAGAATGTGATCACATCCAGCTCTCCTTTGCCAAGCTGCCTCCTTCCCTGCTGTGGGGCTTCCATGTGGAGCAGCCTTCGAACACTTTGGTCCCCCTCTCCCATTGCCTGTGGGGAACAATCTGTTCCTGCCCAGGCTGCGGAAGAGATGGGAAGTTCTGGGCTACCTACCCAAGCAGGGAAGGCTTGTTCCTGCTTCTGCCTCTTTTCCTTCTTCATCCCCCTGTTTATCTTCCCCCTGGCTGCAGTGTACCTGGAGCAGCATCCATCTCCCCTGCAGCCACGTTAGAGCTCAGAGCTGGCTCTTGCCTCCAGCTTCCCCCATGACTGGACAGGCAGTCCCAGCTCCCAGCCCTCTCCCACACCTGCCTTCCCTGGGAAAGCCAGCCCGTTTCTAACCCGGACCTGGTGCACTGGTGTCCTGCTTGGGGAGCTGCCTGCTTGGCTGGCTCCCACCACCTGGCCTGGGGAAGGCAGTGCATTGCTGCAGGGCCAGGGGACCTGCTCATTCCCTTCCCTTTCCCCACGGTTCACTTGGGACCCCCTAAAACGAGGCTTCTGCTTCCACCTGCGCTGTCTTTGGGGGTCCGAGCAAGTGCTGGACCCCTGTAACACTGTAAAACCAGGAGCTGGCAGTTGGTGAGAGGGTTTGGGGTTGTACAGAACTGTTGTAACCTGTAACTTTTTGTAATTGTTTTTAATAAAAGGGTGTTGACTAAATGCATGCTCCTGAGTCTGGGTCTGCTCTGCCTGTGCCTGCATCGGGGAGGAGGGCTGCTGGAGCCGCCCCAGAGGTGAGGAGAACCTGGGCAGGCTTCCCTGGAGCATCCTTTTAATTTGCTGACAGGATGAGGGGAATGGCTTGAACCTGCCCGAGGGGAGACTGAGCTGAGCTCTTAGGCAGAAGCTCTTCCCTGGGAGGGTGCTGAGGCGCTGGCACAGGGTGCCCAGAGAAGCTGTGGCTGCCCCATCCCTGGCAGTGTTCAAGGCCAGGTTGGACACAGGGGCTTGGAGCAAGCTGCTCCAGTGGAAGGGGTCCCTGCCCGTGGCAGGGGTTGGAGCTGGAGGAGCTTCAAGGTCCCTTCAACCCAAACCAGGCTGGGATTCTGTGCCTGCAAGAGGAGGCAAAGCCTGGGGCTGCACGTGCCAGACCCGCACTCTGGACAATCCTTTCTCCCCCCTCCACAGGATGCCCTGGGCAGCCGCGGGGCAGGTCCTGGCTCCTTGTTCCTCCAGCGCAGAGCTGGGCTGGGATCCCAGGAGCACCAGCACCCACCCCGGTGCCCGGCTCCTGCGGGAGAGCCTGCATCAATCTCACAAATGGGGCAGGAATTCGAGTGCCAAGGGAAGGAGCTGATTCAGCACAGAGGAAGAGGTGAAGGTAAAAAGTTCAAATCAAGAAATAAGAGGCTATTAGATGACCTCACTGGCAATGTGTTTTATTTAACGTGCTGGTGACGGCTTGGCGATGGCAGCGGTTACTTGGGATGCTATAAAAGTCACGGCTGACCCATGTTCTCTATGGGCCTCTTGTGGTGCTGGGTCCGCTGAGCTGTGGCAGTCACCTCCTGGCTGACACCTGAGGTGGCTGCAGCCATCGGGGAGCTCCTCGTGGTGCCCAAAGCATTTTGCTTTCCTGCTTTTCCAGAGCCTGCAGGGTGGAAAGGAGCCCCCGAGTCTCCTCTGGGTCATGGATTGAGGCAGGAGGGAGCAGCGCTCACCCAGCCCCAGGCAGCTGGGGGGACCGCAGGCACGAGTGCATGGTCGGTGTCTAACCCGGAGGTCTGAGGTGCTTGGTTTTCCTTGGAAGATGTCATCTCCTGGGGTTAGTGCTGGAGCTGGGGCATCTGCCATGGCAGCAGTGCCCTGTCAGTGCAGGGGGGCTGCGGGGCTCAGTCCCAGCCCTGAACTTGCAGCAGGATGAGGTGGGTGATGCTGGCATCACTGCAGTGACCGAGGTCCTGCTGCACCCTTCAGCCACAGCGAACCGGCCAGCGTGGTGGGCAAGAAACGATCACCACCAGTGCCCAGCCCTGTCCCCTTGTGCCCTGGTCTGAGGTGGCTGCAGGGTGGCCGGGAGCAGAGGAGGAGGGTGCGGAGCAGGAAGGGGACTGGTTGTGCAGGTTTGGGAGGTGGGGGAAGTTTTTGGGTGTTGGAGGCAGGTGCTGGGTGCCAAGGGCATCACTCACTGCTCCATCGGCACTTCTGGTCCAGGGGCTGGTGGGAGGCAGTATCCTGGGGTGCATCAGAAGCAGTGTGGCAGCAGTCAAGGGAGGTGATTCCTCCTCTACTGACCCTGGTGAGGCCACATCTGGAGCACTGTGTCCAGTGCTGGGCTCCTCAGGACAAGAGGCAAGGAGATGCTGGAGAGGGTCCAGTGAAGGCCATGAGGATGCTCAGCGGTCTGGAGCATCTCTGATAAGGAGAGACTGTGGGAGCTGGGCCTGATTGGTCAGAGAAGAGCAGCCTGAGAGGGGATCTCATCAATGCAGATCAATAGCTCAAAGGTGATGCCAGGAGAATGGTGCCAGACTTCTCAGTGTTGCCCAGGACGAGGAGCAATGGCCAGAAACTAAAGCACAGCAAGTTCCACCTCAGCATGAGGAAGAACTTCCCACTGAGGGTGGCAGAGCCCTGGCACAGGCTGCCCACGGGGGCTGTGGAGTCTCCCTCTCTGGAGACATCCCAAACCCACCATGGGCACGTTCCCCTGGTGGCCCTGCTTGCACTGGGTGATGTCCAGAGGCACATCCACACTGATGATGCTGGGATCACATCTCCCAAGCTCTGGTCCAGGCTGGGGCATCAATGGGAGCCCAGGAGGTGGTGGCTGGAGGCCCAGGGCTGCACATGGGGCTGTTCCCATGCTGAGGAACAGCCCCTGTCCCGCAGGGCACATTTCTAAGTTATTATCACTATTTTCCCTGAACAAACGGGGCTTTGTGGCTGCTCAGCCGGGTGGAACGGGGCACCTGGAGCCGCTTGGGCCACGGGCAAAGCGAAAACACCGGGCTCAAAGGTTTAACCCTTCCTTGCAAGGACCAGGGACACACTGGGACGGTCACCGCGGTGCCCGGAGGAGCATCCTCTGCCCTGGCGCTCAGTGCACTGTGCCGGGGGGAGCTCAGCTGATTGCAGGGGCCATTGATGGGTGAAAAGTCACCTTCAGTGGCTGCAGTTGCCAGGGTGACCTCGGCCATTCCCCACCAGTGTCATCGGTGCTGGGTGCCACCCGCCACGTGTCCCTGTGCGGGGACACCAGGGCAGGGTGTGGAAATCCTTTTCATTCCTATGGAAGCAGCAAGTGGCTCCGAAAGCATGGGGGGAACGCTGAGGTTTGGAGCCCAGGGCTTGGCCGTGCCTTCCTTGTGCTGGTGCTGCCGTCATCATTGGGTCTCCGTGGGGCAGAGGTTGGGAGCAGCAGCGGGACACAGCAGGAGAGGGCTGGAAATGATGGAATTCCTCACAGGTGCTGCTCCAGGTGTCAACCCTGCAGGAGCTGCCAGGGAATTGCAGGCACGAAAGGCAGGTGATGGGCTGAGGGGGTGGAAATTCATGGCGGTCTCATGGATAAACTCCAGTTTGTCCAAGTGCAGGCTGCAAATGGTCTTCATCAAAGGCAGCTTGGAATCCATCTGCAGGGAAAGGAGGTGCTGGGCTCAGGGAGCAGGAAGAGAGAAATTCCACGTGTGTTTGGAGACAGGGGCTGGGATAACGTTAACCCAAATCCATCCCACTGCAGGTCCAGTGCTGGCCAGTATTCCCAGTGGGGATGTGGGGATACAGGAGCACGGCGCTGCTGTGTTGTGTATGGACCTAGAACGAGTTATTCCCAACTGCTCAGGAGATGCTTTATGGAGAGCTCGGCCAGCACTTGGGTAATTGCCTCCAGGTTTCTGTGGTTAATTGCCGTGAGCAATTAATCTGCCGATGGCTGATGCAGGACCACTGCCGCGGGGCTGCTGTGCAGGATGAGTGCGGGGTGGGATGGGAGAGCGGGGGGGCACGGGGCTGGCTCTCGTCTCTCCTCTGCCACCACCAACAGAGCAGTTTCTGTCCCCAGCGGGGTTCGCAGTCCCCGAGGGGCTGCTCGGAGGCGGCGTGGTTCAGCCTCCTCTTCCTCCCACCTTCCTCAGCCTCCAGGGCTCTGGTGTGGGGACTCAGTGCTCAGCGGTGAAACCAAGTCACCCCGCACCCGCAGCCCAGCTCCTGCTCTCTGCTCGTGCCCGCTCTCCCCCAACCCCGTTTGGGATCAGCGCCTTCTCCCCTGGGAACACCGCGGCCCCCATCCTCTTGTGCATCCCACGGGAGCGGCTCCTGCGGCAGCTCCGGGGCTGAGGGCAGGCTCAGCGCTGCCAGCGAGGGGAGCCCCGGCAGCGGGAGGGGAGGGCAGAGCAGAGCAGAGCCCGCGGCCGGAGGTGTGGCGAGGGCCGTCCCCGCGGTCCCTGCGTGGGGCAGGGCGGGCGGCAGCAGGAGCTCGGCGGCAGGATCGGTGCAGGTACGGGGGGGGGCAGTGGGGCAGCAGCTCCCATCCTCCTCCTCCTCACGCTCTGGGGCACCCATGGGTGCCCGCTGGACCCGAGGGCGCTGCGGGTGCGGTGGGGGCTCTCCTGAGAGCTGCATCTCTCCCTGTGGACCCCGGGGGAGCCCAGGGCATCCCCCCCCCCCAAGCACGGATGGGAGCGGTTCGGGATGGGGAGATGCTTTTCCACCTGGAGTCGCATCAAAGCAGGGGGAAGAAACGGGGTGAGCGGAGGGAAACTCATGGCCCGGGCATGTGCTCGGAGCTGGGGCTGAAAACCACCCCGAGAGGCTTTAACGAGCCGGGATCCACCCGGCCCGAGCGCGGGGGCATTTCCTGCGTGCCGAGGGCAGGAGGAGGCATGAGCCGGGTGCTGCACCCGCCACCCGTTGCCCTTCCGTGGGCCGGTGGCTCTGCGATGGGACCGAGCCTGGGGTGATGCTGGAACTGCAGCAACTGGGGGCTGGTGGGGGAGCGGGGCTCCGGGGTTGGTGGGGGTCCCTGGGGTGGTGGCTTCGGGGATCCTTGGGCTTATGGGGGTCTCGGGGTGGCTTTGTGGGGGTCTCTGGGGTAGCAGCGGCTGAGGTCCCACAGGGATGCTGCAGTCACATAAACAACAGCAGCACTCACAAGCCCCGGGTAGGACCCGCTCCCCCTTTTTCCTTTGGCTGGGTGGGAGCAGGAGGGGCAGAAAGCTGCTCAAAGCAGCAGAGCCTGCGCCGCGGCTCCCAGGGAACCCAAGGGCTCTCACATTAATCCCTGCCCTGAGCAGGAACTGAGCAACAGCCCCACGTTTGTCTGGAGCTTTGGGATCCCAGCGCTCCAGCGGATCGGCTCCATGGGCGACACAAATCCCCACGTGTTTCTCCAACCCAAACCCTGCGGGCACGGCGCCCGTTGCTGCTTAAAGCGGGTTCAGTCCATGCAAACCTCCAGGAGCCCAAAGCTCTGCTTTTTAGGGGTGAGAAAGCCCCACTTTGGGTCCTGCCGCACACAGCAGCCCCGAGGGGCTGGTCCACAGCCAGACACCCCCGGGGACCACGGGACGGGATGTTCCCTGCCGGGCCAAAAGGAGTGCCCGGTGTTGACTTGGAGGAGCATCCGTGGGTTAATGAATCACTGTGGGGCCAAAGGAGGTGTGGAGCAGTGGTCAGAGGATGTCTTGTGCCTGTGGCCATTGCTGCCACTTTCTGGTCCTGGGTAGCTCCGGGTTGGGGCCAGGGAAGGGTTTGGCTGCCGGCCCTGGCACCCGCTTCCAGCCTGTTCCTGCCGATCCGAAGTGCAGTCATTGAGGCGATGAGTGAGGTTTGACAAGAGGTTTGTTGGAGCTGCGGCTTCTTGGATGTCCCCGTGGAAGTTTCTCCAACTTGGAATCATTCTTTGTCTTAGTTCCCTCTTTCCCTTTGCCCCTGGGCTCTTGGCGCAGCACCCAGCTCCACCAGCATCCTCCTCTCTCCAATTAGCTGTAGTTTCATTTGGCCTCACCTGCAGCAGGGGTGCTGTGCAGCTGACGTGCGGTCTGTGGACGGGGTAAATGGGGTAATGGGGATTGTTACTGGGTACAATGGGGCTCAGAGACGCCCAATGCAGCAGGGACGTGGGGGAGAGTCAACTTAAGCCTGATCCTGAGCGTGAGGGATCTTCTGAAAGGATGACCACAGACAAAACTAAAGTCTTCCATCCCGATGAGACTCAGGATAGGCTTGGACCCTTCCACGAAAGCCATCATGCTGTTTGCTGGTTTGGAAGCAGAGAGCCCAGGCAAACCTCTTGGCACTCACCACTGTTGGCCTCAGCTTTGCTATTAACAGCCTGGAGGAAGGTCTGAAGATGCCCTGAGCAATGGGTCAGGGCCCTGAGGGCACCAATGGGTTAATGGCCCTGAACAGCCTCACCTCTCCCATACCCATCCCTGGGGTCCAGCTAAGCTGAGCCTTGAGGCTCAGTCCCAACAGCTTTGTTGTAGGTGGGACTGCCTCCAGCTCGGCCGCACACCTGTACCTGGCCATGGGCAGGAGCATCCCGGGGCGGGGGGGATCTCATTGCTTCGTGTTGTGGTTGTCCTTGTTCCTAGATCCTGGCAGTGGCACCAGCATGGCTGAGCAGGAGCCAGGCTGCCTGCACGGAAAGAAGCAGCTGCCAGGTCGGTGAGCAGGGAGCGCGTTGTGGGGTTTCACCTGTCTTTAGAAGGAGTAGATTTGGGGTGAATGGGCTGGAAGGAGGGACCACGAGTGGCTGGGATGTCCCTTGGCAGCCTCTGAACTGGGATAGCAAAGATTCAATCAGGAGAGGACCAGCGAAGTCCTGTTGCTTGGAGGGGTTGTGCTTCACCTGGCCTGCTTGTACCACGACCCCAGCACCTGAGCTCAGGTAGCCTGAGGCTCGGAGGGGAAGTGTGTGCAGCAGTCCCCCATCTCTGGAAGCTTCTGGCCTCCTGAGCCCTCTGTCCACGCGTTCCGAAGCTCCAGCTCTGTCCCGTTTGCACCTCCAGCAGCTCTCAAGCTGTAGGTGCTCTATGGAAAGCCCATCCAACCAGCGTCGGGTCACCGTAAGCGCAGTGGCACCATCACTGGCTCCCATGGGATGTGCTGAACATCCACTTGCTTTTCCAGCTTTCACCTGGGAGGTGAGGGCCAACGACCGGAGCTACCACAGGCAATTCAAGAAGAGGTTTGCCTTCTGTCTGAGCAAGCAGAAGTACGCGGTGAGTCAGCCTCATCTCCGGGTGCTGGGGACTCACGCACACAGTCCTCAGTGCATCGGAGACTCAGAGTCAACCAGGTTGGAAAAGACCTTCAAGATCATCAAGCCCAACCGTTGTAAGTCCATCACGAACCCGTGTTTGGAGGATGAAGAGGATCCCTGCCCTAGATCCCCTCTGAAGCTGACAGAAAAGGGGCAGAATCGCAGTGAGGGAGGCTTTTTAGTCTGATGGTCCAATAACAAGAAAGACTGTGTTGGTTTTTTTAAGATTTAATATAACAAAAGCAGATTTTCCTTTTTCCCAGCTAAATAATGGCCCCCCAGCTGGAGGTGAAGGAAGTGGTTTTGTCTGGATTTTATACAGCCCTTTCCTCTAATAAATCTCCTTGTTTCCCCTCATGGCTTTGGATTTTTGAAGGCATCTCTTACCCCGTGAAAAGTCCTGAAAGCACCAGAACGTCCTTGATTTCCTGTAGTGAGCTGGTTTAGGGGACGTGGCAGTGCTGGGGAACTTGATGATCTTAAAGGTCCTTCCCACCCCGGTTGATGATTCTGTGGTTCTCCATGGCTGAACGCCCACTGGGGCCTTTCTTCTGCAGGGCAATGCCATTAAGACAGCCAAGTACAACGTCTTCACCTTCCTGCCCCTGAACCTCTACGAGCAGTTCCACCGAATGGCCAACATCTACTTTGTCTTCGTCATCTTCTTACAGGTGAGCTGGGCACCAAGCGTGTGCAGGGCTGCCTAGAAAAGGAAGGATGCCTGGTGGTTGGTGTGAGATGGTGCCAAGGATGCTGCTTGTCAGCGGTGCTCCTTGTCCTGAGCTCAGAGGGGTCTAACCTCCCTTAAGCTTGGTTACATTAAACTGATCGGATGTGGATGTAAGAGAAACCATCCCTAAATAGAAATCCTGCCCTCCAAATGCCCCACGTACACTCCACACTTTAAAAGGACGTGGAAAGCCAACAGGACGGTTCTCTGCGGGCAGACACCTGGATTTGAGTCTTCTTAGATGGGTTCCTTAGGAGCTGGCTGGGGAGAGGAGCTGGGAATGAGGGGGGGGAGTCACCTCAAGCACCCCAAAGTGGGATGAAAGTCGCGTCAGTGGTGTAAAGTTCTCCTCCTCTAGGCCTTCCCCGCGATCTCCACGCTGCCCTGGTATCCTCTGCTCTTCCCCCTGAGCTGCCTTCTCGTCATCCGGGGTGTGCGAGACCTGATCGACGACATCGTGAGTACGGGATGGAGCAAAAGGCTGTTCGAGCTGGGGGCAGGTCCTGGGGGAGCTGGGCAGCAGAAAGGGCCCTCTTGCTGTGGGTGAACTGAAAAGCTTGGAAGTTGCTGTCATTTGTTGTTCCTGATGAACCATCAAGTCTCCCATGTCCAGGACGCTTTGTGTTTTCCTTTAGGAAGGATGGGAACTGGCCAGTTTGCTTTCCTTGGGTTCTAAACACCAACCCCCCTCATCTTTATCTCTTAACCAATGGTTATATTCCCAGGGTGGTCACCAGAAATACCTTGAGGGATTTTAGCCTCTACATTCACCAGCATACATCTTCTGGTTGCTTCAGAAAGCAGGCTGCAGCATGTCCTTGCCCCATGTCTGTGTCTCTCTAGGATGAGCAGTTTGGGGCTGTTCAGTCTGGAGAAGAGACGCTGTGTGGAGACCTCAGAGCAGCCTTCCAGGATCTGAAGGGGGCCTATAGGGATGCTGGGGAGGGACTCTTCATTAGGGATTGTAGTGATAGGACAAGGGGTGATGGGTTAAAACTGAAACAGGGGAAGTTTAGATTGGATCTAAGGAGGAAATTCTTTCCTGTGAGGGTGGTGAGGCACTGGAATGGGTTGCCCAGGGAGGTTGTGAATGCTCCATCCCTGGCAGTGTTCAAGACCAGGTTGGACAGAGCCTTGGGTGACCTGGTTTAGTGTGAGGTGTCCCTGCCCACGGCAGGGGGGTTGGAACTGGATGATCTTCAGGTCCTTTCCAACCCAAGCCATTCTATGATCCTATTCGATGATTCTATGTTTTCAGCTGGCATGGTTTTGTCTGGCAGGGCCGTCACCAAAGCGACAGAAACATCAACAGCAGGCCGTGTGAGATCCTGTGTGGGAAGAGGTGAGGGCCCTGGGGGAGCTGGAGCTGGGTTTTCCAGGTCTGGGTGGAGCAATGGATCCCCTGAAGTGCTGAGCCTCCTTGAGCATAGCAGCGGAGAAAGGTTTTGGTGCCATGCCCCCTGACTCTGCAAACTCCCATCACCTCCCATCCTGCAGCTGCCCTGTAGGGATGGGTGATCCCGTTCCAGTGCCTGACAGCAGGTCTAACGAAGCTGTGATATGCTGGGAGGAGGGTTCCTTGGCCACAGAAGTTTCTGAAGGTCTTCATATCTCATGGAGCCGTATCATAGCCTAACAGTGGTCCAGGGAAGGACCAACACTGCCCATCCGTGGGCAGGGGGCTGAAGGTCCCTGCCACCCACAGGGACATGGGATACGGACGTGACAAACGGGTCCTGCGCTCTCCTCAGTGCTCAGCCATCCTGTGGCTGTGCAGACGCGAGGCCACCACTGCGGCAGAGGAACCGGCACCCTGGAGACCCCGTTCATGCAGGACCGGTCCAGAGGGCAGAAGGAGCCGCAGCCTCCATCCCCGCTGCTCCGCAGGGATAAAAACCCCTTCCCCTCTCATCCTCCTGCAGGTTCCGCTGGCGCAAGTGGCGCGACATCTGCGTTGGGGACATCGTCCGCCTGCGGAAGGAGAGCTTGGTCCCGGTGCGTGCTGCCCCCCGGAGCTGCCTCTGCCCCACGGCTGGGGATGCGTGGTCAGGAGGGGCTCAGCCAAGTGCTCTCTCTTCCCTTGTTTGCTCTTCAAGGCCGACATGCTCCTGCTGTGCAGCTCGGAGCCCAGCAGCCTGTGCTACGTGGAGACCACCGACATCGATGGGTGAGGAGAGGGGCACGGTGCTGCTGTTGCCATGGGAGAAGAGGGATGGAGACACGGAGGCAACGGCTCCGGTCCTGGGGACACCCCAGCGTTGGGGGGGAGAGGTCGGGCACACTGCAAGTTCAGTAACAACCATTGAATGTGGCCAGGGCTCCCCCTGTGAGTGCTCCATGCCTGGTCCCCGTTTTGCTCTTCATTGGCATCACTCATGTAACCACCTGGTCATTAATGGTTGGCTGTGTCCCATGGGGCCGACAGCAGAATTAAGAGCTCCGTCACCCCACAGTGCTGGTAGAGTCTTCCCTCCCTGGCTGTTGTTCACAGGGAGACAAACCTGAAGTTCAGACAAGCCCTGCTGGTCACACACCAGGAGCTGGTGAGGGAAGAGAGCATGGCTGCCTTTGATGGTGAGTCTCCCATCTGGGCAAGGCTGCGGCATTCCCACTGGGATGGGACGGGTTCAGCCTCAGGGAGTCCCTGTCCCCTTAGGCACAAGGGCCATCAGTCCAACGTGAGGCTGCACTCTCTCCTCCTTGCATGGAGGACCTTCCCCAGCAAAAAGGCACATTGGGGTTGTGCGCCTTCCCCCTGCCCTGCATCTTGATTTTCCTATGGGAATCAAGTGCTTGGCTCCCAAACCGCTCTGACCCCGGCTGTTTTCCCCTTTAGTCCTCCACAGGATGCACATTCCCCTCCCAGAGGCTCTGGGGATGGAGCTGTGTTTGTACCTCCTCTGGTTTTATAGCCCAGTGAACCGAGCACCCTCCTCCAGCTTAGCTTGGATTTGAGCCATCCCTTTCCCAACTGCACCTGGAGAGGCCCCGACCATCCCTGAATCTCCCCAGCACCCCTCTTTGGAGGGGGCAGGCGTGGGGGGCGAGGGGGCAGGAAGGTCCTTTCCCTTCCCTCAAAGCCATTACCTGAATCCTGCCCTCTGCCCCAGGGAGAGTGACCTGTGAGGAGCCCAACAGCCGCATGCACAGCTTCACGGGCACGCTGGCCTGGAGGGGACAGACCTACCCCCTTGACAGCGAGAGGATCTTGCTGCGAGGCTGCAGGCTGCGCAACACCGACCTCTGCTACGGCTTGGTTATCTACGCAGGTGAGCGCATCGTGTCCTGCATCCACTCACCTTGGTGGCCTCCTGCGCTTTGGGGCTCAGTGCATCTGAGAGCTTGGACACGGGGAGATGCTGGAGTGAGTCCAGAGGAGGCCATGGAGATGCTGCGAGGGCTGGAGCAGCTCTGCTCTGGAGCCAGGCTGAGAGAGCTGGGCTGGGGCAGCCTGGACAAGAGAAGGCTCCTGAAGGGGAGACCTGAGAGCAGCTCCAGTGCCTGAAGAGGCTGCAGGAAACCTGGAGAGGGGCTTGGGACAAGGGCCTGTAGGGACAGGCCAAGGGGAATGGCTTGAACCTGCCCCAGGGGAGACTGAGATGAGCTCTTAGGCAGAAGCTCTTCCCTGGGAGGGTGCTGAGGCGCTGGCACAGGGTGCCCAGAGAAGCTGTGGCTGCCCCATCCCTGGCAGTGTTCAAGGGCAGGTTGGACACAGGGGCTTGGAGCAAGCTGCTCTAGTGGAAGGGGTCCCTGCCCGTGGCAGGGGTTGGAGCTGGAGGAGCTTTAAGGTCCCTTCAACCCAAACCAGGCTGGGATTCCATGAACAGCTGTGGGAGGAAAGGGACAAGGTTTGGTGCAAGCAGCACTCCTCCAAGTGTGCAGCCATGGTTTGATTAACCTCTGATTGAGGGATGTGGTCCTCTGAAGCCTTCAGAGGCAGGGAGATGTTGTTATGGAGGAAACCAGAAGCCCTTTGCTGCAAGGCAACCCTCTGGGGGCTTGTGGATTTACTTCTAAAATGTTTCTCATTCAGGATTCGATTCCAAAATTATGAGGAACTGTGGAAAGATCAAGCGGAAGAAAACCAAGCTGGACCGCATGATGGACCGGTTGGTGATCATAGTGAGTGGTGCAAACACCTCCTGGTCTGCAGCCTCTAGAGTCTTCTCATGAGAGGATGCTTGCTTGGGTGACACTGATCTTCTTAAGTTTGCAGTATTTTGCTGAAGATGCCTTGGGTTTAACATGTTATGGGCACACACCAAGTGATGCTCCCAGGAATTGGCAGCTGCTGGATCCGGGGCTGTCTGCACGTGGTTGTGTTGGCAGCTCTGAGTCCTCAGCTGTAGAGCAGCCCCTTGGATGAGGGAGCTGGAGTATTCAGGGATCTCCAGCCCCTCCAGGCCTGCTTGAATGATCCATAACAGTGCAGGTCCAAGGAGGTGGCTTGAGCCAAGGGACCTTCACGGAGCAGATGGAGGAAGGGAAAAGAGAAACCTTTCCTCCACGGGAAGCAAAGCAGCGTGCTTGTAACTGGAGGGCTCTTACTCCTGCTCCTGGTAGTTGGCCATCATCACCCCTCAGACTGGCCGCTAGCATTCCTCTGCTTGCTGGTACTGCAGCAGTAACACCCTGTGTCCAGGGAGATGGTGTCTGAGGCAATAAGGAAGGTGGGAAAGCTGGGGTTTGCTTTGTGAGTGTGTTATGTATGTGCCAGCTGAAATACGTGCTGGGATCCCTCATCTCAGCCAGGGATGAGGTTTGAGAACCAGCTTCAGGCGCCAGGACACCTTTGCACAGGCTCACAGCTAAATGAGACAGTCTGGAAGAGGCAATGTTTGGTGCTAGGAAGGGGTCTGATGGGCTCTGTGCGATGGTGCATTCTCACCCTGGCTTCTCGTCTCAGATCTTCGTGGTGCTCTTGGTCATGTCACTGTGCCTCGCCATTGCCTCTGGGTTCTGGGCCAAGATGTTCCAGGAGAAGCACAGCTACCTCTCTGCTTTCTACAAGCACACAACCCCCGCCCAGCAAGCCTTCTTCAACTTCTGGGGCTTCACAATCCTCCTGAGCATCATCATACCCATGTCCATGTATATAATGTAAGAGCAACAGAGCTTGGAAGTGGTCAGAGATCAGGACCCCGCTCCCTGTCCTTGGCCATCATCTGGCACTTGGGTTTATAGCCACAAAATGGGGCTGCACAAAAGACCCATCAGTGACCTTGAAGAAGTCATTCCCATGTGTTCCTTTAGCTGTAAGAGGGTAAGGATGGAGGGGGGGGGGGTGCATCTTACAAACACTGATGATGAGCTTTGAGATCTTCTCAGGGGAAAGGCAGAAAAGAGATGCAAAGGCACGTACTGATGCTGGAAACGGGGGGCAGGCTGAGGATGAGACTTGATGCCGGTGTTTTCACGCTGAGCAGCAGCAGGGTGGGGAAGAGAAGGCCACAGCTGGCCATGATCACAATCTGTGCTGGAAGAAGCAGTTTCCAAACTGCCTGGCCCTTTGCTGAATCTCCAGTAAGCATTTTGTCATCAAAGGCCAGATTTCCAGAGGGGACCCCAATTGCCTGGGCCCCAGTGGGCTCTCAGTCTGGCATGCGGAGCCTTCTGGAAACCAGGCCACAAATAAGGAAAAACCTCTTTCCTCCCCCAAGCTCAGAGCAATAGGATCCAGGTGGGGAGTTCCCCTCTGCCTTTTCTTCCCCATGTCAGATTCTCAAGTGCCCCTGGGATGCGAGCAATGAGATCTCCTTCCCCAGCATCAGTTTTCTTCTCCCTGACTCCCTAGGTTTGAATTCATCTACCTGGTGAACAGCTGCTTTATCAACTGGGATCTGGAAATGTATTACGCTGCCAAGGACATCCCAGCACAAGCCAGAAGCACCAGCCTCAATGATCAGCTTGGCCAGATCGAATACATCTTCTCGGACAAGACGGGCACCTTGACGCAAAACATGATGAGCTTCAAGAAATGCTGTGTCAATGGGGCCGTCTACGGTAACCTTTGTAGGGACTCACGAGTTAGGTAAAGCTTGGATTGGCTCTTCCCACTCTTCCTGCCTTGCTGGGGAGCTTGAGGCACGTGGATTGATCTTGGTGCTCCAGCACGTAGACAGAAGATGCTGGAGGGGTTTGGCTTGTTCCCATCACGCACGTTACTGGGGATTTGCAGGGGCCACCATGCCTATGGCCACACAGTGCATGGGGTCAGGAGATGCCCCAAACTCAGCTGAGATCAGCGAGGTTTTCCCTGATGAAAAAAGGGAGCCTGGGGTTAGGAGCCCAGCGGCAGCTCCATGGCAAACGCATGGTGTGGGTAAGGTGGATCCCACCTGGAATAATCGGCTGACACTGCCCAGGACAGAGGAAGCAGAAGAGCCGTGGGCCAGTGAAGCCCATGGGATTTTTCTTTTCTATGAAGGTCATGGAGAGAAAAAGGAGGTTTTGCTTTTCCTTGCAGCGTTTTTCTGGTGGAAAGCAGCTTGGTTTCCAAATTTGGGCACTTTGAGGCTTTCTGGTGACCCATGGAGGAGGCAAAGGCGTTATCATCCCCCTCATGTTGTTTCATCACAGTTAATGCATATAATTGCTCAGCTAGAGCTGAGTTTTTAACATTGAAAATGTGTCTGAACAGTCCAAGAGCCAAATAAGTGAAACCTGCCCATCCTGTGAGAGCCTGGCTTGTGACCAGGCTGAGAACTGGTCCCTTCTGGCCAGTCTCTTGAGCAGCAAAAGGAGAGGTCCCCTGTTGAGAAGCTGCTCAAAGGCACACACATAACCCCCCTAAGTGATGCTCCTGTGAGCTCTGTTAGTTAAATTCTTTTCATTTTGGCAGGTACGGGCACGGGCCATGAGGACAAACATCCACGGGTGCGTAACTCCCCCCTCTCATGGAACATGGGGCCAGATGAGGCTCCTTGCTCGGTCAAAGCCATAGCACAGAATCTACCTGGGAACATCCCCACGTGCAGCCCTGGGCCTCCAGCCACAACCTCCCGGGCTCCCATTGATGCCCAAAGCTCTGGTCCAGGCTGGGAGATGTGATGACAGAATCCCAGCATCATCAGTGTTGGAAGGGGCCTCTGGACATCACCCAGTGCAAGCAGGGCCACCAGGGGAACGTGCCCATGGGGGGTTTGGGATGTCTCCAGAGAGGGAGACTCCACAGCCCCCGTGGGCAGCCTGTGCCAGGGCTCTGCCACCCTCAGTGGGAAGTTCTTCCTCATGCTGAGGTGGAACTTGGTGTGCTTTAGTTTCTGGACATTGCTCCTCCTCCTGGGCACCACTGAGAAGAGCCTGGCACCATCCTGCAATGAGGGGACCCCCTCTCTGCCTGCTCTTTGGACTAAACGGACCCAGCTCCTACAATCTCCCCTTATCACAGAGATGCTCCTCAGCATCCTTGTGGCCATTGCTCACACTAGCAGCAGGCCCAGCCGTTCCAACCCAAGCTTGCTTACAACAGGGTCCCACGTTGTAAGACAGTGGCACGTGTTCCCTTGGGCTGGTGAGTTTGTTGGTCCTCAGCTGCCAGTTAAGGACAGGGGAACTGGGGTTATAAACCACTGCAGGTCTGGTTTTCAATTTGCTTTTCATTGCCAACCTTTCTATACTCGGCAATGCAGAGCTCGACTTACAAACTCTGATCTGGATTGGACCACACCAGCACAGAGCTGTTGTATTGCAACCAGCAGCATCCCCAGTGCAGTCAGTCTCTCCTGGGTGCCTGCAGCCTCCCTGTGCCTCTTGCAGGGCTCGGGGGTGACCTGGACCCAGAATGTGCAGAAGAAGTCGGACTTCTGCGATGTGACACTGCTGGAAGCTGCCCAGCGGGACAAGGACCCAGTGCTGAGGGAGTTCCTGAGGCTCCTGGCCCTCTGCCACACCGTCATGGTGGAGGAGAAGGGCGGTGGGTTGGCTGCGGTGGATGATGTGCTCGGAGCGGGGTCAAGCCGGTCCAAGGCACTGAGGCCATGGAGGCTTCCTCCATCACTTAGGAAAGCTCTGCAGCGTGGGGAGCAGGGTGTGTGAGAGCCCCTGCACATTTGGGTTTGTTGTAAAGGTTGGGACCAGGATCCATCCCTGTCTGGGATGATGCAGGCCGGCAGCAGCTCACCGTGCTCTTCTGGTCATGCTGGGACTAACTGGTCACAGTGCCTGCTGCGTTGATGAGCTGGGAAACCGGGGTCGTGTTCTGTGGCATCTACAAGAGTTGTCTTTCCTGGGGCCATGAGCAGAAGAGATGAGACAAGAAGGACTGAGGTTGACAAGGGTGGTGGCCTGGACTTTAGGGTGTCCATAGATAATGCTGGTGCTGGGCACGAACAGGGTGTTTCAGATGTCCAAGAGCTGCTTGGCTGGGAGCCTCCTTGTCTAATCCCAACTCTTCTGCAGACCAGCTGGTTTACCAGGCAGCTTCACCAGATGAAGAAGCATTGGTGCTGGCAGCCAGGAACCTGGGGTACATCTTTCTGGCCCGAACACAAGACACCATCACCATCAGTGAGCTGGGGAAGAAGAGGGTGTACAAAGTGCTGGCCATGCTGGACTTCAACAGCGATCGCAAGAGGATGTCTGTCTTAGGTGAGTGGGACAGGGTGTCTCAGGGGCCCTTTCCATTCCCAGCCCTGCAAAGGGATGCCACTGGGGTGGCTGTGAGTGATTTAGGATTGGCAATCCTAAGGATTGTTCTGGTCATCCCTATGGTTTTGCTCACCCTCATACCTTGGGGTAGGTAACCAAGAAGGGTTTAAGCAGCTGAGAGTGAGCAAAGCAGGGGCTCAGAGGGGGTGTGTGAGGAACTGACAGCCCTTGAGGCCTGATCCTGCCTTGTGATGGTGTAGATATGGGGGAGTTCCTGTGCTTCCTACAACCATAGGTAGAGAGGCACCAGTGTGCACTGTGATGCCTTCTGCAGCAGGGCCATGGCACGGGGACAGCGGTGGGTGGGAGTCATCTCTCTGGGTAGCTAAGCTGTCATTCCCCTCCCTCCCAGTGCGGGACCCCCAGGGCACAATCCGTCTCTACACCAAGGGGGCTGACACGGTCATCCTGGAGAGACTGCAGAGCAGAGGGCCCAATGAGACCTTCACCGAGAGGGCGCTGGATGTGAGTCCCATGCCAGCCTGGGGTGGAAAGGGCTGGTCTCCCTGCTGGGCTGGGTGTCCTGGAGGCCCTTCTCCCCCTTGCCTCAGGAGTTTGGTCTTTCTTCCTTCCTTCTGCTCTAAGAGCCTCACATGGGCATATGGGACAGGGGCTAAGAGGGCATCAAACCCCCCTTCAGTGTTCTGCGTGCTCATGGCAAGGATGCTCACGCGGATGCTGTAGGATGGGAGCGGGTCAGAGCCCAGAGGGAGCCCCTCAGGTCCTCTGGCTCTGCCCATGGGAGCTGGGGTGATGCCCTGGTCCAGGGGCTGAGGGAAGGGAGCCCTCATGTCCCATCTCTGCAGCGCTTTGCAGAGGAGACGCTGCGGACTTTGTGCCTGGCCTGTAAGGAGGTGAGCGAGGTCGAGTACAGCGACTGGAGCAGGAGGCACCGTGAGGCCAGCATCCTGCTGCAGGGCCGCGCGCGGGAGCTGGACAAGCTGTACGAGGAGATGGAGCAGAACCTGCAGGTGGGATGAGGCTGGGGGTTGTGAGGAACCGGCTGCGCTGGTCCCACCGAGGGCAGGAGCGTGGGGCTCAGCCCTCTGGAATGAGGGGGGTGAAGTGTCCAACCCAACACCCATCCCCTGGCAGGGAGCTCCGTGCCAGGGGTGCTTTGTGACATGCACTGGGTTAGGTACCTCTTGGGTCGTGTCCACCCCGGGCACAGCCTCCTGGTTGGATCCAGGAGTAATTCCCACCTCTGTATCTTGTCCTGCCCCATACTCGCCCTCCTTCCAGCTGCTCGGGGCCACAGCCATTGAGGACAAGCTGCAAGATGGAGTCCCTGAAACCATCCAGCTGCTGAAACTGGGCAACATCAAAGTGTGGGTGCTGACGGGAGACAAGCAAGGTCAGTGGAAGCAACCAACGCGTTTCAGCTTCTCCCCTAACCACGACCAGAGATGAGACCCTGGGGCTGGGCAGCAGCCAGGCCCTGCTGTTCCCTTTGGTACACAGCCGATGTCCCACACATCGTGTCACCCATGGGAAACTGAGGCAGGGGAAGCATCTGCGATGGCTCAGAGCTGGAGCAGAGCCCCCAGGGGCTGCTGCCCACCAAGGGCTCTTGTCCCTGCGGTGGAGGAGGCAGCACCAGTGGCCACTGCCCCCTGCGTGTTGCAGAGACTGCCGTGAACATCGGCTACGCGTGCAAGCTGCTCACGGATGACATGGAGATCCTGGAGGAGAAGGAGGTCAGGTGAGGAGCTGTGACCTCCTGGTTCCAGATGTTGTTGTCCCTGCTGAAGACCCCTTGAGGGCACAGGATTTGGGCAGAGCTCAACTCTGCCAGAGATGCTTCTCCTTCCCTGTCCCAGCCTGGGTGTCCCTGATGCTTTTCCAGGCTTCCTGTCTGTTCCTGCTCCTACAGCACTGGCCTCCCTGGCAGGCTTTGCCCAAGCTGCCTCTCCAGCCTCTAAACCACAGGGACAGAGGCTGATTTCTGAGGGCAGTGAGCCCTTGGGGCCCCCTCTCTGCCCCCCCTATTCCCACCACTGGGAACATCTTCCCGGCGCTGTCTTTACAATGGCAAAAGCCAACTGCAGGTCTCAGCCCTCAGCTCCTACCCCCCCCTCCTCACGCAGTGAGATCCTTGAGGCTCACTGGGTCAGCAACAACAACTCCAGTGGCAATGGGGAAGCCCAGTCCAGCAGCAGCCTCTCCCAGCAGCGCCCCAAGGCTTCACAGCACAAGAAGAGAGCGCTCATCATCAGTGGGGACTTCCTGGTAAGGTGGCACTTGGATGCTCTGTGCTCTGCCCAACCTGTGCTGTTTGTGCCCTGGTGCTGGGTGGCACCAGGATGTGATGGGTGTCCTTCCCAAAGGGTAGGGAAAGCCCATTTTGGGCTGGGGAATGAAGAGGGGAGAGGGCGACAACTTTGTACCCATCACTTGGTGTTGGGGGGCTTCAGTCACACTGCTCCAGTCGGTCTCGTGGGATGAGGCATGCTGGCATCAGCTCCCCAGGCTTCCCATGATGCTGGGACGAACTGGTCTCCTGGTCACAGTGCCTTGCTGTGTGATGAGCTGGGGGTCACTTCCTTGTAGCATCTACAAGATTTAAGAGGATCACTGAAGAGCTCGGGGGGGTGGGGGGATGTCTCACGCTATGAACGCTACCGAGTGAGGTCCCAACCATTGTGCTCTTCCCTAAGGACAAAATCCTCCACACTGGAGAGGTGCTGAAGGAGGAGCGGAGGCTGTGGCAGCGGCTGCCTTGCTGCAGGGCTGCGGGCTCAGAGCTGCAGGGCAGTCTGGTGGAGAAGGCCTTCGTGGACCTGGCCACCAGCTGCCAGGCAGTGATTTGCTGCAGGGTGACCCCCAAGCAGAAAGCCCTCATGGTGCAGCTGGTGAAGAAGCACAAGAAAGCCATCACCCTGGCCATCGGGGATGGGGCCAACGACGTCAACATGATCAAAAGTGAGGCTCGGGGCAGGGGGGAGTGTGGGGTTCAGTCGGTGCATCCCACTGGTGGGAACTGGTGGTACCCCATGTGCCATCTCCATCACCTCACCACCTCCTTTGAGGCGAGGAGCTGGGAGAGGAACCCCCTTGATGCTGTGCTGGGAGGGTGGGAGAGGCACGGGACCAGCCTGAGACAAGAGCAAGGTGGACCACTTGCTTTGATGAATGAAACTTCCAGCCCCCATCTGTGCAGCAGGCAGAGACATCCCTTGCCCTTCTCCAGCAGCCCTGACATGGCACTGAGCTCTTCGCTCACCCAGCCATGCCTGGCACATCGCTCCTGCGGGATGTGATAAAGGGGGCTTCTTCCCTTTGCCCATCACCACTGGATTCACCCTCTGCTCCTCAGCAGGGAAAACAAGCACCCAACTCCCCCAAAACCTCCTCACCTGCCTTTCACCCCCTCCTGTCCTCTGCAGCCGCCGACATCGGGGTGGGCATCAATGGGCTGGAGGGCGCACAAGCCGTGCAGTGCAGCGACTATGCCCTGGCGCAGTTCTCCTACCTCCAGCGCCTCCTGCTCGTCCATGGCCGCTGGGCTTATCTCCGCATCTGCAAGTTCCTGCGCTGCTTCTTCTACAAGACCTTTGCCGGCCTCATGGCCCAGGTCTGGTTCGCTTTCCACAGTGGATTCACGGCTCAGGTGAGGAATGAAGCCATCAGCAGGGGTTGCATCCGTCCCATCGGTGCTTCAACCCCTCCGCAGAGGATCCCATGCAGGTCTCGTGCCTGGTACTGCCTGGTGGGCACATCACCACCCTGGTCCCCTTTCTCCCTTGCCCTGGTATTGGACTGTCCAATTCGTGGGGGCTGTGTGGCTGAGTTACAACTGGGTATGTGCCTTTTACCTGACTGGATTGGGAAAAGCAGCCTTTTGGGTGGAGGTTTGGGATGTCCTGATGAGCTGCAGCTCAGTGTCGGACAGATGCAGGGAGAGATCCCATGTGCATTTAGCTGGTTTCCTCCAAAATGGGAGCTTTTATCCCAAAGGCCATCAGTGTACCTTGACCACCACCGTGTGGCTCCAGCCCCCCTCATCTCCATCTGTAGCATGGTCCCACAGTCCATTGACTGCTGCAGACAATGTGGGGCTGATGCAGAACTTGGGGCAAGTCCATGGGGATTTCCACAGAGTTTGGATCTCCTGGGCTCGCCCCTGGTGCCTGGGCATCTTTTGGGAGTCCTTTCAAAGCACCACTGCTCTCACGGCTGCTTTCTTTTCCCTTCTAGCCCCTGTATGAGGGCTGGTTCCTTGCGCTCTACAACATTTTCTACACCGCCTACCCTGTGCTGTCCATGGGCCTTTTGGAGCAGGTATGGGTTCACTGGGCTGCATCCAGCCCCTGGGCCTGGAGGCTGCATCCTCAGTGGGTGTGAGTCAGCCTGGCAGTTGTTCCACCCCATTTGCATGGCTTTTTATGCTGGGACACAGGTTCAAGCAGCTCAATGGGCATTTGGAGCTTACCAGCGGTCCTGTTCCCCATCACCCCACAGGAACCGCGTGTAGGGACCCACAACAGCATTCCTGTAGCGGGTATTGCATGGGGTGGGCCCAATCCTGCTTCCCAGTGTGATGGGGAGGGTGATGCTTGGTGCCTTCTCGACAGGACGTGAGTGCCAAGAAGAGCCTGGAGTTCCCTGAGCTCTACGTGGTCGGGCAGCAGGATGAGCTCTTCAACTACCGCGTCTTCGGCATCACCCTCCTGCACGGGGTCAGCACCTCGCTCGCCAGCTTCTACATCGCGTTCTGGGCCTTCAGGGACCATGTGGGCAGCAAGGTTGTTGGTGACTACGAGTCCTTTGCTGTCACGGTGGCCACGTCAGCGCTGCTGTCGGTCCTCATGGAGGTGAGCACCCACCTGCCCTTCCCCATCTGGCCCCGTGGCAGATGTTGAGGGCCTGGGCCCTCTGACACCATCCCCAGCAGCTTTGTGGCTGGGGAGGAACCTGGGACTGAATGGAAGAGGATCCCCATCGGGCGCTGTGCGCTCTGCCCTTGTCACTACAGATCATCCTGGACACGAAGTTCTGGACGGTGCTGTCCTTTGCGATGGTCGCTGCCAGCCTGCTGCTCTTCTGCCTCTTCTCCTTCTTGACCCAAAGCATCGGTGCCTTCAGGATAGCCCCTGCCATCTTCTGCTTCCCAGGTCAGATGCCTTGGTACTACAAGCTGTTTCCCACCTGGTAGATCCTCTCTCCATCACAACTTCTTGATCCGGCTGTCTTGATTTTTGACTCCAGTTTAGGTGCCATCTCCTCTTTAGACCCTTTGATACCTTCATGGGTGCGGACCTGTCCCCCGACAGTCGTTCCCTCTGTGCTCTCCACCTTCCCTACTTAAGCATCACCCACCACCTTCTTGCACTGACAGATGCCACCCGGAACGCCCTGACCGACCCCTACGTCCTGCTCGTGGTCCTGCTGTCCCTGGTGGTGAACACTATCCCCTCACTGACCATCCACCTGTACCACACCATGGCAGGCAAAACCACCATCCAGCAGGTGAGGGCTGATGGGGATGGCACGGAGAGGGCTCTGGGGCTGTTCTGCAGGGAAGCCAGCCGGGACGTGTCACCTCTCCTTGGTGGCACCACTCACCTGGTGGTGGCTGCTCATGCCACTGGTGTCCAAGTCTGGAACTGGCTTCCAGGACTCCCTGGACCTGCCAATTAGGAGGCACTGGGGTCTGGAGCAGGTTTTGGTACCACCCCCAGCCTTCACAGAGCTCATTCCCATGTGGGTTATGGGTTTACACCCTTCTGGTGGTACAAAGAGGTCCCAGATAAGAGCAGGGGTTGAGAATGTGCTCCAGAGCTCCAGCAGCTTTGAAGACCCCAGGAGTGTTCCTATGGTGCGCATCCCCTCGTGGCAACTCGGCTCATGGTGGAGCCAGGAGCCAAACCGTGCCTCGGTGGAGGGCATCCCTGCACGTCCCCCCTTGGGGTGAGGGTTTGCCTGGGGGGTGGCCACAGCCCTGATCTCCTCATCTCCTTGCAGAAGACCCGCTTGAAGGCAAAGCAGGCGCCGGAGCCCTCGGTGGAGCTGCGTGCCCACGTCCCCCGCGGCTCCTTCCACCGCCGCTCCAGCTACGCCTTCTCCCACCAGGAAGGCTACGCCGGGCTCATCACCCGCGGGGACAGCCTGCGGGCTGGGGCTGCTCGCCCCGGTCTCCTGCATCCAGAGATGCAAACCCGGGCTTTGCCGTCCCCCCCCAGCCCCTCGCCGTAGGGTGCCCTGGCAGCATCAACCTCCCCCTGTGCTGGCGTGGGAGGTGCTGTCAAGGTGCATTTTCCAATCTCATTTAGATGGGTTTGAAGCCAGGGGCAGCCCCTACGGATGCGGAGGGGCTGGACCAGCCTGGGGGGCTGCTGCTCCAGGCACTAAACTCTGGGACATGTCCTGCCAGCAGCTCTGTCTGCTCCACACCGGGTGTGTTACAGCCTGTACAGAAAGCAACCAACCTCTGCCACGCACATCGGGCTGGTTCTGGTGCCCGTGGCATTCACATGCATCAGCCCAACAGAGCAGCCTGGCTTCCAGCAGCCTCTCCTCATCGCTGCCCACCATCTGTGAGGATGCTGAGGTGCTGCCCCATCCCTGGCAGGGTTCAAGGCCAGGTTGGACACAGGGGCTTGGAGCAAGCTGCTCCAGTGGAAGGGGTCCCTGCCCGTGGCAGGGGTTGGAGCTGGAGGAGCTTTAAGGTCCCTTCCAACCCAAACCATTGCATGATTCTATGATCTCCACCTCCTTGTCTTTGCTATCCCCGCATGAGTGGTGGTGTCTGCTGTGTGCCATGCCCCACTCCCATGGGACTGATATCCCCATCTCCAGGGACAGCTTGTGCCCACAGGCCCTGCAAAGTGCTGTTGAGGGGAGGGCGAAGCACTGGGGTGACATTCACCAGCTCTGCCCAGAGGGATGGGAGCTGCAGGGCTCCACAGTGGGGACATCAGCAGCAACTGCTGGATGTGAGCAAGTGACCCGTGACTGGATCACCCTCTTTATTGCTCTTATTTTATAATTAAAGGAACTCCAGCTTTTCTCTTGTCTCCTGCAAATCCCTGCTACCCCACCAACAAAGCTGCGCAGAAAGGTCCTGTGGGTCCATCTGTGCGCGCCACCAGCTCTTTGTGACCTGCCAGCACTTGGTGCCATGGCAAAACGCACGGCGGGACGTGATACTGGGATCAAAAGAGAGGTAATTCCATCAGCCAGGGGGGCTTGGACCTGCCTGCGGCACACACGCCCTGATGGGTTTGTTTGACAAGTGCTTTGGCCTCATCTGCACCCAGTTTGGGTGAATTAAAGTGTTTATTTTGGGCTCTGGCCAAAGGCTGCTGGATGCTGCCAAGAAATGAAAGTGTCTGAGGCTTCCCCTAGGAAAGCTTTCACCCCTGCAAATACCAGATGGAAAACTATGGGGGGGGAAAGGAACCTTTCCCAGCTGCCTGGGCATGATCCCCAAGTCTACTCCCTGATGCTCTCGGGGCAGGCCTAGGGCAAGGAATGGAGCTGGTTGGAAGGGGGCTGCTCGGAGCTGCGTTGCAGGGAGCTGACCCACGGCACACAACACTCACGCCATGTGAATGACTAGAAAATAATTTATTGAAGAAACAGAAAGCTGCAGAAATACAACACAGTCATGACCAGTAGAGGATGAACAAATAGAGAGTCATTCCTTTTTGTCCTCTTGTAAAACCTGTCAGTAGGCTGGAGTTTGAGCTTCCTGATAGCTTCCCCTGCGCGAGTCATTGCAAAGAACAAGGAACAAACTCCAGAGCACACAGCACAGTTTGGATAAAGTGCCTGACACATAAGACTTTTTATTATTATTATTATTAGTTTTCTTTTTTAACGTTTGCAAATAGCTTTAACAAATATAGTTGCAAGACACAGAGGAGTAACAATTGCATTTCGCTGGAGAGCAAAACCTATCCCATGAGAGTAACGATAAAGCAGCAGCGAAAAGAACCCAACAGAAAAAAAATCGATGTCATTAGAAGGAAAAAGTCATTGAAAAACTCAAGAGATGAGGCCCTCAGTCTGTGTGGGATGAGGACGAGCGTCACCTATTGCTATGCAGATCAATGAGCAGTGTTTTCTGGACTGGCAAACCTGAGGCTGCAGATTCTTCCTGGCTGGGTTTATTCTGATTTATTTCTTTTTTTTTTTTTTCTGTATAAATTTAAGGGAAAAAAAAAAGAAAAAAAAACAAAAACCAAAAAAAAAATTTTGTTCTTTGCATTTTTAATTTCTCCTCCTTCAAACCCCCAAACAAAGGCAGACAAAAGAGGAACCGGATCCTGCACGGCAGCGCCTGGAAGGCCAGCCCCAGAGCCGCTGCCTGCACCGCCCCGGCTGCACATGTGCTCCGAGACAAGGGAAAGGGAGCGCAGGGGCCAACCCAGCACCTCCATGGTGGCCAAGGCGGGTTGAGGACAGGGGTTTAGAATCATAGAATAGAATCATAGAATGGCTTGTGTTGGAAGGCACCCCCCAAAGCTCATCCCTGCAATGAGCAGGGACATCTTCACCTAGATCAGGTTGCCCAGGACCACGTCCCGCCTGGCATCTTCCCCACCTGGAATCGGATGCTCAGGAAAAGGAACAGGATTTCTTTTACAAAGCCATTTCTTGGCATGAAGAAGCGCCAGCTCCTGGCGTGCCCTGTGCTGATGTCCTCAGAGGAGGAAAAGCTCAGCTCTGCCTGTGCCGTAGTGGGGTGACAACGGGTATAACCCGGCCTGGAATCCCTGGGATCCCAGAGGGATGAGGACAGCACTGCCCCACTGCTGACAGTGGGTTTTCAAAGCACAAAAGCCATCGGTTGAAAACTTCCACTCAAGGTAGAACCAGAGGGCCTGGGGCAAGGAAATTACCTGAATTCCTGAAAACTTCCACAAGTGAAGCAGGACACGGTGGGAGATCCTGGGTCCCCTCCTCTTCCTCACCCCCTGACCGTTCGCTCTCCATCACCCCTGGGGCCCCTTTTCTTCTCCTGCTCCCCACAGCACAAAAACGCTCTTCAGGGGCGACCCTGGTTGGGAGAATTGTCTTTAGGACAGAGCTTGGATTGTCATTACCTGCAGAGAAAAAAACATCTTTGGTATCACGGCAAGTTGCTCCTCAAGGCATTTTGGTCGATGTGGGCAGCAGGAATGGCCAGATCTGCTTGTGGGTGATCCAGCAAGTCCTGGTGGGCTAAAGGATAGGGGAGAGTGCTCTGCTCTTGGCTTCTCCAGGGTTCCCCAAGCCACTGGGCTCATGACCCATGATGGAAACGGCTGGTTGCTGTGAGATCCAAGGGCTTGTGACTGTGGGTTGCAATCCAAGCCTGGTGAGAACTTCTTGTAGTTGGAAACGAGGTATTTGCCTCCAAGCACCAAAGCTTCTCATGCTGGAAAAGGCCTTGAGAGAGGAAATGGGACACGGAGGGGAAGAGGAAAAGGGCAGGGATGCAGAGCTCCCCCAGGGGCAGGAGAGTTGGTAGCAGATGAGTGGTGCTGCTGGAATAAATATCATCTCTTCCTAAAATCCAGGTCCTTGGTCAGTGGGTCCCATGTCTCCCACCGCCACCTAGTACTGAGCATCTCACTGCTGGCCATGAAGAAGGCACGGCATTAGACAAGAGAGGAGACACAAAACCACCTTGCTTTGCTTTGGGGGGGCACTTTGGTGGGGCCTGAGGAGGTTGAGATCTCTTTCCTCACATTGGGCTGAGCTTTGGGGTCACCTCTAGAGATGGAGGCGAAGGATGGGGTGGTGAAGAGGCTGGAGAGGGCCAAGGAATCAGCACGTTAAGGTAAATGCTTTGGTAATGGTAGGTACCTCTGCCTCCTCCAGGCCTCCATCACCCTCCTGACCTCCGAAGACGTAACTCCTTGTTGCCTCTAAGCAAAGAGAGGAGGAGGAGGAGCAGGGCGAGGAAGGAGCAGGGGATGCGGGGGGGCTCTCTGGACATCGGCAGAAAGCTCCCTGGCTGTTTAGGGGAGGCAGGGAAACTTCCATCATCCCCTGAGACCTGCAGTGGGCTGGGGTCCTCCAAGACCTCTTCCAATGGCTGGAGGAGTCGTTGTCTTCTTCTTCCCCCTTCAACCAGAGTGGGTGCCTCCATGCAGGGTCAGAGCTGAGCTGGGCGGCACAGGGAAGCCTTCTGGGGCAGCCCCTGGGTGCTGGGTGCTGCCTCCATCCTAAATCACATCCTTGGCAAGAAAGCCTCAGAAACGAGTCACTCCAGTCCATCCCTGGGTCCGGTTGGGCATTGATGCAGCACCATCTTCAGCACCTCTGTCTATGCAGGGTGAGGGCAGAGGCAGGTCTGTGAAGTCATCCCAAGGGATGGGGACTTGGGAGCATCACCTGGAAAGGTCTCAGCCATGGGGTGAGGTTTTGGGGTGCCTGGGGGCCGTTTCCCTTGTCTCAGAGCACACGAGGAGCCCTGTGGCTTTGCCAGCTCAGGTCACGGTGGCTGATTGTCTCTCCTCTCGTCTGCACTCAGGATTTGACCCACAGAGCTGGATAAAGCAAGAGAAAAACCCAAACCGAGCCAAAAACCAAGCCCGAAGCACAGAGAGGAGCCAGTGCCCATGGCACGGGTGGGACTGGGTGTGCACACGCTGGGGTCCCGTGTCCCCCACGTCCTTACCCTGTGTGCCGGGCACCCCGTCCTGCCCTGGGGTCCTGGGGGCAGCCCCCCACTTCCCACATCAGCAGGAGCTTAGGGAGGAAAGAGGCAGAGGAAGAAACTGAGGGGGATAAATGGTGACTCTCCCGTGCTTGCATGAGTTGGAAAAGACCATGATCCATGCAGAGACGTCCTCATCAACCGAAAACTCATGGACAAAAGAGAAAAGAGCAGTTTGTCCCCTCCCGCTCCCACCCGACCGCCCCGTCCCCCAATAATTAGTACATTACTTCAAGAAAGAGTATATTTTTTTCATGCATAAATCAAATTCATCTTTTTTTTCTTTTTTTTTGTCTTTTTTTTTGTCGTTTTCTTTTGTCTTCTTTAAATTACATTTGAACACAGAACACAGATAATAAATACTCTCGTACGACATGACTCAGAGAAAAGGAACACATCAGAACGCAAAGGTCTCGTCATCGTTATTCGTTTTTGCTTTTTTTTTTTGTCTTTTTTTTTGTGAAAAGGACTTGTTTTAATATGAAATCTGTAAACTCCAAGGGTCCTTTTTTTGGTTTTTGGTTGTTTTTTTTTTTGTTTTTTAATCTTTCTCTCTTTCTTTCTCTCTTTCCACCATGAAACCATCCAGCTTTCCTCTCCTTAACATTCAATACGTCTCCCACTGAACTCGTCAAAGAAATAAGAACATGCCGTCTTCTGCAAAATTATAATTTAACAGTATAAAGCTTCAAGTCACAAATTCCAAAAACTAGCTAAGTAATTTTTTTTTTTTTTTTATCACATAAACTATACATTAAATATTTTGAGGTATTTCAGAGAACATTGTCAAAGGCTTGTAAGGTCTGTGCCGGATGGAAAAGAAGGCTTTCTCCTGCATAGAGAACGTCTTTGGTATCACAAGCCATGTGGGTATTAGGTAGAAGATGGGTGGCAGGGCCACGGGGACAGGCAAGAGCTGGCCAAGGCAATCGTGTGGAGGGGGGACAGGAAAGCCATGGGGATACGGATGCTCTGACCTACTCTGTCAGGTTGCCCAGCAGCATGAAGCACCCTATGGGGGTCCTGGCTAGGCTTGTTGTCACCCGGGGGGGTTGCTCTGCACAAGTTGGTCCAACTCAAAAGGAGCCACCTCGGCTGGAGCCTGAACCAAGTAGGTACAATTCAACCCAGGACTTTCCTACACTAGACATTCTGGAGACTGCTGTGGACAAGCATCTTCTCTGGTGCATCCTCCTGCTGCCTTTTGCTAAAGCCAAGCGGTGGAGTGGTGTGGACCTGGCGGTGCCTGTCTCCTCCAACAAGCCAAAAATGCCCCTGTGGGGACTTGGAAATGGTTTGTGCTCAAAGGTGTCGCAGCTCCAAACTGTTTGGAGAAACCCCATGCTGAGGCTTCCCACCAGTTCTGCCGTCATCTTTCCAGACAGAAGTGCTAGAACCCTCCCTGTGCTACCAAAAAGGGAAACTGAAGTCCAGGTCTGAGCTGAGGGAGTTAAAAACACCCCATGATGAAGCCCATGTCTTCATCTCGTGGGCTTCTGTAAGGTCCCCGCGCCAGGCTGGGCTGGCAAAGGACACGGAGCAAACACTTCCCCTGGGAGTGATGCCCAGTGAGAAGGGACCCAGACACCAAGTCAGTGCTCCTGGGGCAGGGAAGGCTGGATGGGGAGAGCCTGGGGACCATGCCAAGTTGAGGGACACAGGGATGTCTGAGAGGGGGACGCACACCAAGGAGCCAGCACCTTTCCCGCAGCAGGCGACAAGGGGGATACTTTCCCTTCCATTAGGACAAAGGGTTGGGTTTCTTCCCTTCATCCCAACACCCAAAGCCTACAGAGATGCCAGAATCTGTCCCTTTGGAGAGCTAAGGTAATAGTGAGTCTTTAGGATCAAAGCAGAGGAGCAAAGAAATGGCCACACACCTTTGGTACAAGAAAAAGGCACTCATCTACCACGCTGCCATCCCAGGGTCGCTCGCTTGCCTTCTCCCTGGCTCTCTGGGGACTCCACGGGGCTGGGGAAGGGGGGGGATTTAGGGGGTGCTGAGGGGCTCTCGGCCAGGGTGAAAGGGGGGGTTCTCGGCCGGCTTGGCCGCGGGAGCAGGGAAAGTGGCATTTCCAGCACAGACCAGACAAGGCAACAAAATCTTTGGTATCAGACGTGATTTTCAAATCACAAAAATTGAAAACTCAAGTGAGGTAGCCTTTATTCTCGGGTTCTCACTAGAAATGTCTTTGCATCCTTGAGGGCCTGTGGCATTTACTCTTTTTTTCTTTCTTTTTATTTTTTTCCCTTTTTCTTTTTCTTTCTTTTCCTTTTTTTTTTTTTTCCCCTTTTTTTTTTATAATTTTTTGTTTTGTTTCATTTTTCCATGTGTTTTGTTGTGGTTTTTTTTTTCTCAATTCCCAAACCAAGGCCCCCTTCCTGGCTTTTCAGCCCTTGAATACTACTCGATGGTGTTCAGGAATCCACCACCATCATCACCATGTCACGACAAGACAAGAAGAAACAACATCAGGGGAAAAATCAGTGGCGGGGAGTGGGGTCCTGGGGGATGAGATTCGCTTTTTTGGGTTGTGGTTGGCAAAATACGCTGCGGCACCTGCCCCTTCCCGCTCCTTCCCTCTCTCCATCCCTCTCTTCCCAGCAATAAACTGGTTTAGTTTGGTGTCCAGTCTGACACCCCCAACCCCACCACCGCACACCTACCCCAGGAGCTCTTTGTTTAAAGACATCCCCTAAACCCACTGGTGACCGTGGCCGGTCAGGGCTTCATGTGCAGGGGTTTTCCTTTCTCTCTTTTATTCTTATTGTCATTTCTTTCCTATATATATATATATTCCTTTTTTTTTTTTTGGGGGGGGGGTGGTTTTGGGGTTGTTTTTTTTTGTTTTTGGTGAACATATCCATTTCTTTTTTCTTTCTCCTTTTACCCTTCTTTTCAACAAGGTGCCTTCCTGTTCCACAACTGATCGCTCTCAAAGCAAAGTGAATCTAAGAAACCATAGCGCTAGAACACAGATGGTACTATTTTACCCGCATAAATTCAATAGTGTCCCCTTTGGTTTTTGGTTGACGGTTGGTTTTTGGAGGATTCTCTCTTTTCCCCCAAGTGGTGGGGGGGGGAAGGAGGGGACCTCGCCTCCCTCTCCATCCCCAAGCCTCTCCAGGCTCTTCCCTGTCCCCTTTGGACCTCCTGCTCCTCCTGAGGACAGCCCAGGCTAGCAGGGAGCTGGCAGGGTGGCCGGGCCGAGGGCTGATTGTAAGGGTTTGGCCTCGTGATTGCTTTTTTATATGGCACAAGTCACCATCGAGAGCTCGGAGGAAACGACCGTTTTGAAGCTTAGTACCATTGCTCCAGGAATTCCCGTTTTAAGGCAGGTTGTAAATTGGCACAAACGAAAAAGAAAAACAGCAACAAAAAACTGGCGTCTTTTTTTTTTGGTTGAGTTGCCGGTCTTGGCGTTGAGTTGGTTGTGGTTTCTGTTGGTAATTCCTTTCTCTTGGGGTTGTGGGGGGGGTTTATTTTCTCCCTTTTCAATCTCATCGGGGAAGTTTTCCCCCTTCTCACACCCAGGGATGGATCTCACCACCAGATCCCCGGGATTTTTCTTTTCCCACCGTCCACCGACACCGGTTCTTCCCAAGGAGGGGGATGTTTTGTGGTTGGGTTTTTTGGTTTTGCGATTTCTTTGGTAACAACAGTGATGAAGATGGGGGATGGGAGGGGGCAATAAGTGTTTGTTGAGGGGTGGATGGTGCAAGACACAAAGCCAACAGATCTGCTTTGTCTGTGTCCATTCCTCAACCGAAAAGTGAACCAGAAATCCAGTGGTGAATGCGGAGCCAGTCACCAGGAAAGATCAGATCCTTCGCTCCAAGTCTCTCCTCCCGTCTCCTTTCAAACAATTATAATCTTTAAATACCCGATTTCTGTAGCTAAAATGTGCTTCTTTGACCTGCTTGAGCGCCAGGCGACGCAGTGCAGCCGCGGTCCCCTCTGGCCGTGGCGCCGGGGGATGCTCGGGTGCATGGAGGCGGGTGGCCACGGCAAAGGGTCTCCTTTGCCGTGGAGTTCCTCTGGCAGGGATCCGGGGATGGGTGCTCTCGTGGGTCAGGGTGCATGTGTGCATGGGGGGTGGGTAGGTGTGGGTGCTCTTGGGGATGTCCAAGGGGAGGGTTGGAGGAAGGTGCCCATGGAGGAGACTGGGGCTACAGGAATGCCCTCAACCAGGCTTTCAAACCCTTCAAGGGAGAGGAATGCAAGGGAGTGTGCCTATGGCAAGGAGGGTCAGGCTCATGGGGGGTGCATCTTCCCTTCACGTTCCCCTGTGAACCAAGGGGGGATCCGCCTTGGTTCAGTGGGGTTGTGCCAGAGCCCAGCCCCATGACTCCACTTCTTGTATCTCCCCCACCTTTACCCCTCCACCATAGGAGCCATAAGGGCGGCTGTGGCACAGGTTGAGGTTTGGGTAGGGTCAGGACATGTCCCTCTCCCCAGCGACCCTGGTGGGTAGGTGAAGACAAGGTTTTGTGGCCCTCGAGCACCAGGGATGCATCCAAACAGCACCTCACCCTCTCCCTCCATCCCAAGTCATTTCTTGTTCCACACAGGTTTCCTCCGAGCCCTCCCAGGTATGGAGCTGATGTGGTGGCAAACCCTTTCCCTGCTCCATGAGCTGGGAGGACATGGCAGCAGGATGTGGCACGAGGCCGATGTCCAGGGGTGATGCCTGGCTGAGGGTTTGGGAGGCTGATGGACCTGCAGCATCCAAAAGCACCCACCCTGGTTGGCTCGGGACATGCGTGTGAGTCTGGGGTTGGCTTTGTCATGAGGAGGATGTCCAAGAAGGGGCAGGGAGGGCTGGGGGACATCATGCTTTGGAGAAAGTGCTTGTAGAAGAAGAGGGGACTCCAGGGTTGGCGCCTGGCTCCTCCTGCCAGCGGTTCATACACCGCCGGCGGGCATTCATGAAGAAGTTGCTGACGGTGTTGAGCTCCAAGCCCAGCTGCTGTGAGATGGTCATCTGCATCTCCTTGGATGGGCGCTTGTTCTCCTTGAAGATGGCGATCAGGGTGCGGCGCTGGAGGTCCGTGAAGACCAGCCGCTGCTTCTTGGGCTGCAGGCTCCTGTCTTTCTGCTGCTCTTGCTCTTTGCGTTTGCAAGCTAGATGTTCAAAAGAGAGAATAGGGCCATTAATTGGTGCTCACCACCCTGGCCCGCTTGCAGGTTGCTTGGCTGCCTCGCAAAATCCAGGCCCTTCCCTCCAGTAAACCTGCTGGCTTGCTGCCCACAAGTCCCTAGGCTGCCTCCCTCCTCTTCCTCCCTGTGCCTCCTGAGTGTCTGCTGAGACGGGACGACAGCCTCTTGCAACATGACTACGAGGAAAGCTTGGGTGAAGCCCATCACCTCTTCAGATGCCCAGGGAAAGTCTCAACATCTCCAGCTGACCCTGGGACTAGAGACTGAGGTAACTCCTTTGGCTGGCAGCCTGACTATGGGGACCTGCTCCATCCCTAAATTTTGGGGGTCATCCATCGGCTTCCCTCATTTCCTCCTCACCTCCGTGGATCTCACCAGAGGACTCGGGGAAGTGGTGTCTCTTGGCCATCACATCCAGCTGCCAGCTTGGAAATACAGGAACATTATTCAAAGGCCAGTCTGTAGCCAACGTGTCCCACAGCAGACAGCCTGGAAGGACTGTTCATGGTTCTACCTGCTCTGGGAAGGAGTTTTCCTGCTTCCAAAGGCTGGAGAACACCTGAAGTACCAGGAAATCCAGTCTCCCCTGTGTGCCTTTGCTGCCAGATCCTTTGGCACATGTGTCAGGTTGAGCCAGCACTAAATCAGACCTTCCCTACAGGTTTGGCTTGAGCCAAAGGTCAGGACAAAGGTGCTGCCACATAGGGATGGGCTGCATAGAGGGAGGAAAGGCCCCCTGACACCATCATGCACCGTGCAGGGGATGGAGAGAGGTGATTATTCACCTCTTCTTATATATGGGGATTTTAACTGCAGGAATATCAAGAGCTGGTGGTGAAAGTGGTGAGAAAAGGTGCCCTTTGCTAGGATATTTTTCTATACAATGATATAACAAGTGAGTTTGTGCAGTGCTGGTCTATACTCAAAGCAGGGCCGACTGCATTAAGGTGCTCAGGGACTTGTCCAGACACGTGCAGGCACTGCAGGAGTGTAAGATGCCCGTGGGAAAGGCAGGGCATGGGTCTGGCCCTCCAAGGCTGGGGACAGATGGAAAGCTCAAGAAAGAGTGAGTAAACCAGGGGCTAAAGACTTCCCAAGGCAAGTCCCGCTCTTGGCCCGAACAAGCAGCAGTTTTCAGCCTTTGGGGTTTCTTGGTTAGGATCTTCCAAGGGATTTTGCTGGGAGGGCACAGGTCCTTCAAGACGTTGGCTGTTGGAACCTTGCTGGATGACAGAGTTCAACTTGCTTCTCGCAGGTACTTCCAGGAGCCTCTTCGACCTGGTGTGCAGACCTTGGAGGGGCCAGAGGCCAAGGTTGGAAGCTGATGCCACAGCGATGGGATGGCATCTTGGGTCCGCACAACAGGTATTCCCCTCAGGCTAACTACCTTCCTGCTACACGGATGCACCTCCTCGGCCAGGCTGAGTAAAAGGGTAGGCATCCGTGTAGCCTAGGAGTAACAGGAGGACGTTTGAAGTGATCTCTTCCTCACTAGAGAACAAGCAAGGTCTTCTTCAGCTGGCCTGCCCTACAAGTCCCCTTTACAACCCTCTGAACTAACAGGGAAGGATGATATCCACCCCTTCCACCCAAAGCTGGGGACATCTAGAGTTCAGTGAAACACATCATTTATCCAGTACATTTAGCCTGGTTTCCCCAGCTGCTGGGGTCGGTCCCTGCCCCATAGCCAGGCAGGTGGTGGAAACCATCAGTTCTGGTCCCACTGGGGCAGGGGAAAAAGGAGGCACCAAGCAAGCAACCACACTCAGAATCAGTCTCCTTGGTAAAGATGGTTGGTGGAGAGCCTTCCCCTCCCCTTCTCCCCCCTCGGGCAGGTTTGGCTGCAAACCATCATCCTTAGGGACAAAGGACAGTCTGAGCCCTGGTTGTGCCGGGGGGACCCTGTCCCAGGGGTACCGTACTCAAACAGCCAGCAGAGAATGGGTTAGTGGAAACCTACCCTATGACCATCAGATGCTTGCAAAAAGAACAAACAAAAAGAAGGCTTTATAGAAAATTCGACTTTTTTTTTTTTTCCAGACATGAATTAAAAAAAAAATAGACACCCCCACCCACCCCCCCCAACACCCCCCAAACCAAGCAACAAGCAGAAAGTCCACACACACACACAGAGAGCACGTGCACATTCGGAGCAGCACAGCTTCACCCACCCACCGCGCGCCCTCCCAGGATCCCCTCAGCATCCCCCCGGCATGCTCGGCTCCAGCCCCGTGCTGGTGGCACAGCTGGGACCTCATGTCCATGGTGGGCACCTCGCCCGCTCCCTGTGAGCACGGCTGTTGCTCTGCAGGGATGGCACCTATCTGTGTCTACCATGTACACACCAAGCACGTACACACGTGTGCAGGTAGCTGTAAATACATCCACCCCTCCGTGAAGCCACTGGGATCCACGTTGTCCTCTTGCTCTCCTGTTGGCACCCATTGCCACCAGCAGCGCTGCGCAGCCAGCCTGACCCCCAGATTCCACCTTTTCAACCCCACATTCCCTCCCCTTTGCTCTATTTTTAGGAGTAATTGTCCCAAACCAGTCTCCCATTAGGAACTCGAAGCTCCAAGGCAAACACTAACCATCAGGGTGCTGCTCCTACAACCGCGAGCCAGCGCTAAAACCGAGCGTTGCTTCACCAGAGGTGACACCCTGCTCCACAACCCCCCCCCCATTCATTCCCCCCTCACTTTGGACCTGGAATGCCGCCGCCGGCCGCAATCCCACATTTCCTGGGCTCGTTTGTTTATTTATTAATCCCTTTTTCTGCTGACGCAGCCCAACACCCCTCTTCCCCACTTCAATCTAATTACAGCTCCGCACAACAGGGATCGATAGTGACGCTGCTCAGATCTATTTACGACGACCATCAACCCCCCCTAAGGAGGATCTTGTTCCCATTCCCCATCCCCCGGGCGCTGCTTTCCCACTGGGTCTGTCCCTGTGTCCCCACAAACGGTGGGAGCTGGGGACAAGGGGCGGCCAGGGGCATGGCTCTGGCTCCCCCCCCCACCCCAGCTCAGGGTAAGGTAAGGGGCTCCCTTTGTGTTTCAAACTCCCTGTTTTCCAAATGTTAAGATCCAAAGGGCTCGTCTTTGCCTTAGTGCTGTTCTTCACTCTCATCTTCCCAGGGGCTCCGAGGGGATGGGGACACGCTTCAGGCCACTTCCACCCCTGCCTCTGCGTTATCCCCCCCCCCCACCCAGCAAATGCCCAAGCCACGGGGTTTATTCAGTGGGAGAGATGGATTGGGGTTCCCATGGGCAGGACGTTTGCTCTGTCGGCCACTAAGGGGTTGTGCTCCCCCACGATGGGAGCTCTTTCTCTCCTCTCTCCATCTGTCCCCAACTCAATCCACAACGCCTGCACCCCTGAGACCTCCACCGCTCAAACCCGGCTTGGCCGACCAGTGCAGAAGTGTCCAGGAGGGAATGCCACGGTGGGATGGGATGAGTGCACAGAGCCCCTGCCTTCCACACACCAGGCACGCAGCATTTGATCCCCAAGGGAGCTGACCTGCCTGCGGAACAGCCACGGGGAGCGAAGATAAGGGGGGCAAAAGCAGGAGGAAAGACCTCTGGAAGCAGAGGCATCCCACCCGCTTTTCCTGGAGGATTTCTGCCGAGGGTTTCTGCCTCCCTGGACACTTATGTCAGAGGGAGAGCGTTTTCCTTGACTTAACCTTGACAGCTCAAAGCAAAATATCTCCCAAATCATTTCTAAAGGGACATAATAGAGACAATTAAATGGCTGCTCTTCAGAAGCTGCGATTATGCCTCGCAGCGTGAACTCCGCGGAGCATTTAACTAATACCTGATGGCTTCGCAGGCTTCTGCAGCCTGCCAGACCCGGGGTTCTCTATTATACCCGCAAACCTCTGTTTTCTCAGCCCCAGCGTGCTCTCCCTCTCCATTCACTTGCAATACAACCTGTAATTTTCTGCCCACTTTGCTTAAGTGCTGGTGATTTGTTGAAATCACAAAAGACAGCCAGGGGCTTTCAGAGCCAGTGCTGGCTGTAAGCAAGGTTAGGGGGAACAAAAACCCACCGGCTTTTCTCTTTTTCTCCCTGTCAAATCAGCTCACCACGGTGCAAGGGGACGGAGGAGCGTTTAGGGGCTCAGAGTGAAGTGGAGGAAGGGATGGGAGAGAGGGTACGTGGACGTGGTTGGCCAGGTTGGTACAGGCTTCTCTGGTGCAGTGGTAGGATGGGCTCTTTTCACTGGTGAGCACTGGGTGGGAAATGGCCCTGGGCAAAGCTGGCTTCTCCCCATGCCTTCAAGAGGGGTCTAGCCCCTGGGCTGCCTCAGTTTCCCCCTCTCCTCGAAGAGGCAGAGGGATGTGAACCGCTGTCACAGAGAGGGGAGGCTGTGTCCAGGGTTGTGCAATGGCTGTTACTGGCTCACACCCTGGCGCAGTATTCTGGCAGGTTTGGGGAGCTCCACCTCTGAGCAAACTGGGATGAGCCCAGCGCCTCCCGCAGCAGAGCAGGGTCTGATCCTGAGTTGAATTAACCTCATGGCAGCCGCTTCCCCAGATCTGGAACAGGGTCAGGACCAGAGATCAGGGGGCTTCATCTGCAAACCAGAAATCCTTTGGTCCACAGCAGGGCCAATGAGATGCTCAGAACTGGGATAATTTAGAAACTGAGAGACGTTCGTTTGACTGCTCTGCGTTGGAGGAAAAGAGCCCAAAGAGTTTTGTCACAAAGAGGCATCTCCAGCAGAAATTCAGGTCTTCTCCAGCTGGGAAGGCTCAGTGCTGTCAGGAGAACCCCCGGAACACAATGCAGGAAGAAAGAGCTCACAAACCAACACCAAACTTTCTTTTTGCCTTTTTTTTAAGCCCCATTTGATTCCAAAACCTAACAAATGCAGAGGCAAAGGGGATACAAACAGGGTCAACCATACAACCACCGGGCAGAGCCAGCACTGCACTGCCCATCCCTGCAAACAC